CTCCTCCTCCTCCTCCTCCTCCTCCTCCTCTTCCTCTTCCCCTTCCCTGCAATACATTCTCCCTTCTAGCACTGATGATGTTACCTAGTTAGGTCATGAAACGTCCTCAGGCAAACAATGAAGCTTTGGCGAGCACCAAGGACTCCTCACCTGAAGTCCGAGCTACCCATATTCTGCTTTGTTGCCGCTTTGAATGGCCATGAAACAAAATGGCTGCAAGTTGAGGAATACTATCCCGCAGGTTTCCTGCCATTCGCTTACTGACGTTGTAAGAGGAGAACTTGTGTGTGGCCTGGTTGCCTTAAGCGGCATAACAATACCATTCTTTCGTTACGAGGGGAAATTAGTGATCCGTCCTAAGGGGGGTGAAAATCTTTCCAGCCAGCAATGTGCAAACAGCTGCCCTTCAATAACTCTTGAAATTAGTTCACAGTCCTTCATTTTTTGGGAATCGGTGCCAGTTGGCAGAGAAGTGAGAAGCCACAAGATGGTATTTGCACCAACGTTTAATGGATAGGATGATGGTGTTGCTGCTTTTCTTTTTTCTTTGCCTTTCTTTGCGAATAGGCACCCGTCCTCAGAAATTTCATTTTCTTATTTTTATTTAATCTACCTAATTGGCTTGCTGTACCTCAGCTAGCGGCCATTTCTATTTTGGTTTTGGTTTTAGTTTTTCATTCAGGTCCCTCTGTCAACAGCGGCTGCCATCATCACCCGTTCACCTCCCGTGGGCCCTGATTCTTGGCCAGAAATGGTTTCAAAAATAAATTGTCTGTTATTTCCAGGGGGACCAAAAGGAAAAAAAAAAGAGACAATATATTTTTCTCCCCTTTTTCTAATCTGCAAGTTCAAACCTAGCGCTGGCTGCTGCTGTGAATTTCAGATAACCTATTTCATGAACCTTCTTTTACAAAGCCCATTTCTCTCTCCCGCTTTTATAAACCAGATTACCTAAAGGAAAGCAAACACCTACAGGAAAGAAAATTTACGCACACCTTTTCAGCAACGAGGCAATCAAAATAGTCCATGCAATGTTCTATTTTTAAGGCAAAATAAATTAGGGGTGACTTACTTTGTTTGAAATACAAATAAACGCATACAGCACATACACACACACACACACACAAATACACACAGAGAGAGAGATTAGGTAAAGACAAACTTATTTCTGATAAAAGAGAACACTTGTAGCTCAGGGTTGAATTGTGGGGTCCTTGGTGCTCTCTGAACTTGGTTGTTTTCTTGAGCAAACCTCAACTCTCTTGCAGCACTGATGATGTTATCTAGTTGGGTAATGAAATGTCTGCAAGACAACAACCAAGCTCAGAGAGTACCAGGGATCACAGTTGTCTTCTTCTTCTTCTTCTTCTTCTTCTTCTTCTTCTTCTTCTTCTTCCTCCTCCTCCTCCTCCTCCTCCTCCTCCTCCTCCTCCTCCTCCTCTTCCTCTTCCTCTTCCTCTTCCTTTTCTTCCTCCTCCTCCTCACAAATCCCACTCTCTTCTAGCCCTGCTGATGTTACCTAGTTTGGTAATAAAATGTCTGCAAGAAGGACAACCAAGCTCAGAAAGCACCAGGGGACCCACGGTCCTCCTCCTTTTCCTCCCCCCCGTCCTCCTTTCCACAAACCCCACTCTCTTCTAGCCCTGGTGATGTTGCCTACTTTGGTAATGAAATGTCTGCAAGATGAAAAAAAACAAAACCAAACTCGGAGAGCAACCAATGACTCCAAAGATTTTTTCTCTCATATCTGTGGATCTGTATCTTGCATTTATCAGACTTTTAAAAGAGAGAGAAAAATTTACCAGTACAGGGGGCATCCATGAAGGGGTGTCCCAAAAGTCAACATTGACATCCACGACTTTGCAACTGAAGTCCTCCTTCGTGGCATGTGAAGCATGTTTTTTTTACATGCAACACATGTAAAAATGTTTTGCAGGCTTTTGAATGCACCTCAAAGGCA